TCCCTCACGGGTAACAGAATTCATCTCCCCAGATGCCAGGAGGGACACTCTTCCAACCCAGAAGATAAGTGGATGCACCAGCCTTGGGAAAGCCAGAAAAAACCCACAGAGGGGGAAGCCCAGCATTTCTTCCCATGCAGGGAAATGGGTAGTAGCTCTGCTCACTTGGAGCTCACCGAAGCAGCTGATAGCGATTTCTGTCTCTGTTTGGATGCACTATGGACGCTTCTCCCATTTGGCTCACCTGATGCCTCATCCCTTTGCAGCTCTGCATGCTAAGTGCTTTGTTAAAGTCTAGTTCAGTGTCTGGATGTACAAAGGTCTGCGCCAGAACTCATCCCCGTGCCTGCTGTGCTTCGTTATGGAGCGTGTGCGGTGCCGGTATCCAAGGGAAAACACTGCTTCGCTTCTCATCTCCTCTCATAGCTGTGTCAGCTTTAGTTTAAATGGCTGGTGGCTGCCTAATGAACAAAGGAAGCTCGAATATTTGAACAAAACTGACTTTAGTGGTTGCTGGGTTGGGGAAGCGGTTTGTGCTGACCACCCAGTGATTTTTGACAAGACTTTGGTGGCTGGAGGGAGGACGGGGTGGTGTTGAGCAAGCCTTGTGCTCCTCAGCCTCTGGCTCTCGTGCTAGGGGCTGTACTTTGGCTTACTGGAGTGGACGTGCTTCTAGTGGAGGTTAAAAGCAGAGATTGCTCAGGCTATTTGTGCTCGTGGTTGAAGAAGGATTTACCCCCTGAGCTGATACAAGCCTAGGCTTATCCTAAAATTAATAAAAATAAAGAATTTATTCAAATTGATGCAAGCTCACGAGCCAAAAATCTATTCTTATAAATAGACTCAGATTGCAAATAGATTCAGCTTATAAGTGGGCTTCACCAGCTGAATTTCAGACCTGTGCTTAAGCGTGTTCTAGGCAGAGGCTTAAATGCTTGCTCACTGAAGCACATGCCTGAGGGCCGTGTTGAATCAGGGCTGTGGGAGACTGTCTTCTAGAGAAAATCAGCTGTTTAACTCTCTTACATGGTCCCATAGCATTGCTGTGTCCTGTTCAACAGCTACTGCTTTTTACCTACATGTGTGTGTCTCGGTGGTGCCTGCGATGGTGTGTTACATGTGCGTACCCTATATACACCTGCGTGCCAGTATATACGCACGTGTTCTGTGTGGTTTGGGGGTGCCCAATGGCCTATAGCTCTTCTACCAGCTTGTAAGTGGGCGAAGGGTTTGCTCGGGTCATGGCCCTTAGTGGTGTCGTGGGTTATAAAGCTGATGAAGAGCGAGTTTAAGGAGAGAGGATGGCAGCTGTACAGGAGCTGCACGCGATGGCGGGGCATCTGCTGCAGGCTGTGCGTCAGGTGGGGCAGGGTGGGAGCAGACGGGGGCCGAGGCGCAGCCTGGCTTGCACAAGGCGGCACTGGAAAGCAGGTCAGGGTTGCAGCGGGAAGCAGGGAGGCTCAGCCGCACGCAGGGGCAGCGTCACCAAGTAGACGTGATGCCGTGCCAAGAGAAGAGGGGCTCTCGCCAACTTTCTCAGGGGGTTGTGGGGTCACCTTGGACAAGGTGCCTCACTTCTCCCCTTTCTGCTTGCTCTTTCTCACTTGCATTTCTTGGGGCGAGCACCATCCCTTTGAGGTGTTTAGCACCTAGCACAAGGGCAGGTAACTGCAATCCCCAGCTACTGAGGTCGGTGTTGCTGGTTTACCACCGTTGAGCTGCATGGATGGTCCCGCTCTGCCTCACAGCAGTAAGGGAAGTCCTTTGTGGGTGCCACTGTCCTCCTCCACCTCTGATCATCCAAAAGGTCTCCAAAAGGTGCAGTCTGTGTCTTGTGGTGCAGGTCACCCACCTGTGCAGGTGGCTCAGAGGCTGGCAGAGCTGTGTCCTGAAGGGCTCCAAAGTGTGGGTAAGGCCCCTGGTGGGGTACCATTACAGTCCTGCACGAGCTCTTCAACAGGCATTAGCAGTGGGGACGTGAAACACTCTGCTGGTCAGGAAACTTCTTCACTCACTGAGTCCTTGAGAAGCCTCAGTAAATGTATAAAGGACTACACAGGGTGTCACCAGCCTGCCCGCTGCAGCTCTGCCTTCTGCTGGGAGAGACTGTCACCAGCAACATCCCAATGGGCATCGCCAGCTTCTGTTCGCTCCCTCCTCCGTGTCTCTTGTACTGGGGCTGCTGGGGAGCCCTGGCCCAGCCTGCTGCCTCCAGCCAGACAGCTGCTCTCCTTGCTTCCCGGCTCTCTGCTGTCACCTTCATGCATAAAACATCTCCCTGTTGACTGAGGTCCCATCTCCTGGTGGCCTTGTCAAGGGAGCTGCAGGGGGACATAAAAAGTCCCTTGTAAATCTCTGGCCTCGCATCCTTGGAAACTTTACTGTGCCTCCAGAGAGCAGCCCTGCTGCTGTTCCTGCTCTTTCAGGGCTCACGTTTAGCTGAGGCAGGATGGGAGCAGCCAGCGCTCTGCCTGCTGCCCGCCTTCAGCAACAACCGCTGCCCCGTCCTCAGGGCAGGCTGTGAACGCTCCCCAGTGCGGAGCTGGGGGTCCTGCCTACGCGCGGTCGCTTCTCCTGCGCCTGGTGTCTCTCCTGTGTGGTAGAAAGCCCGGAGGGTTATCTTCGGTGCCCCCTCCCCTGCCAGGATGGATGCTCTGAGGAAGGGAGGAAATGGGATCCCTGTGTCAGTCCCAGAGATCCGCATGGGAACGGGGTGGCAGTGAATGCAATGAGACAGGGGAGAGAGCAGCTCAGGGAGGGCCCTGTGTGTGCTCTTGAACCAGCCTCAGCTCTCAGGTTTTTTTCATTTTCTCCTCCTTAAATGACAGTGACATTCAGCAGCTGGCTTTGAGGCATTGTAGGAACATACACAGGTGAGGAATGCCCCGGACAAGTGCAACGGAGAGCCTGCTCCTTCATTGAGAGGGGGAAATAGTGCAAGCGTCAGTTAGGATCACGTGGCATTTCTGTGGCAGAGGGAGGACTGTAACCCTGCACAGTTGAACAAATCACTTATTATCCTCATCATTTGCCTGTGCTTGATGAGGAGTTGCAGCCTGAGAATGAGACTTTGCTCATGGGACTGTCGGTGCTGTTTGCTGTCTCGGTACCTAGGTACGTAAATGACGTTGTGCAGGCTTAACAGAGGACTTGATAGAAATGGCTCCAGTTTGAACGGAGAATGAGATTGAGATGGGGTACAGCCCTGACAGAAACACGGGGGTCACTCTGCACTGGTAGCTCTAGGGTAGGTAGAAGCCTCTCTGCCACCCCCAGCTCATTGCCGTGGAGTTTGGATCGTCCTGAGCCTGTCTGCGTGGCAGCTTACGAAGGGGCTTTGGGGCGGGAAGCTGAACTGTGCCCTGAGGCATGGGTGGGCCCTACGCCGTGGTACCCCAGGGTGGGCAGCGGGCTCAGCAATAGCTCCATTGCCCCAGTGAGACTCGGGCTGATGCCAGCAAAACTGGAGCATGGTGAGCACCTCTGCCTGTCTGCCGGCCGGGCTGGGCTCCACGCGCTCGCAGGGAGAGAAGAGATGGCGGCAGGAGACCGGGGGAGCAAAGGGGACAGGGGCTGGAGCGAGCGAGTGAGTGCTCTGTGGTTGTTCTGATGGGGCTGTTGGTTTCACAGTCCTTGTTTAAGCTCTCCAGGTACGTGACGACCTTGGGAGCATGTGGCAAATTTGCAGCCAAATTGCTGTATGTGATGGAGATGCTGAACTGGGAACTGGCGAGCTGAATTCTCTCTGGCTCTGGCAGGGAGGGACAGGAGTGTTGCCAGGTCAGAGCTGGGATCCAGCCAGCCCAGTATTAGTGACGATATTACTCTTTACCGAAGTGCTGCCGGTATTAGTTCTTCCCGGTCACAAGCTTTGCTCGGCAGCTTCTCTGCTCAGTGGGGAAAGGAGACCTCGCAGGAGCAGCTCATCAAAAGGACGTATATATGGAAAAAAAACCCAAAGCCCCTCCTTTCTGAGAGCAGATCCAGAGCATCTGGTGTTCCTGAGGCCTCAGAAGGGATCAGCACTTACAGCTGTCCCCAGGGAGAACTTCTACATGTTAATTTAAGTTTACTATAAAGCCTACATCAGCTTCTTACAGTGGAAGATGAAGGAGCAGAGAAGCAAGGCAAATTACCTTATCTGGGTCCCAAGGTCCTCTCTGTGCATGCTGTTTTAAATATATGTATATATTTAATAATTATTGTACTCATTAATTGACTGCTTGTGCTGGGGAAGGCAGCTGGTAGTGAAATGGCAACAGAGGCTGAATTTCTGCAAGTGTTGGCAATGTCCCCTGAAGGCATCAGGAGCTTTTCCGATGGCAGAGTTTGGGGCTGAGCTGTGGGGACCAGCAGTGCTGCTCTCCTCCAGCACTGATCCCTGTCCTGCTCCGACTCCTCTCCAAAGCTGCAGGAGCTGCCCAGTCTCAGGTTCAGCCCATACTGGGGTTCCTCCCATGTCACTACCCACCTTGCCTCCCGTACTCCGCTTCACTCTGCTTTTTCCCTGGCCGATGAGGAGAGCGTATTTGCTCTGTCAGCAGCAGCACCTTTGCCGTGACACTGCTGCTGTTCAGAAGAGAACAGAAAAATCCCAGCTCCTTCATTAGCTTTTTATGTAGCTCAGTCATTCAGTTGGTGGTTGCAGAGTAGCTTGAGATCTTTCAGCCTCAAGGAAGAGCAAAGCCATGTCACCCCAGAGTCCCAGGGCAGATTGTCCTCCCCCCTCAGTAGGCACTAACTCCCTCCTCTGCTCGGCTTGTCTTCCAGGTACTGAAAGGCTGCAAGAAGCTGAACCTGTCTGTGCATTCGGTGGGACGCATCCCGGGGGGCTATGTCACCAACCACATCTACACCTGGGTGGACCCGCAGGGCCGGAGCGTGTCCCCGCCGGTGGGCCTGCCGCACCACCAGAACAGCTCCCTCCGCAAGGACGGCGAGAAGAGGAGCCACCTCCAGCTCCTGCAAGAGGGAGATGAGAAGAAGGTGAGCGAGGGGGATCAGCCACAACCCTGGGGGCCTGTCTGTGGTTATCTGTTACCATGTAGGTGCCAACCCTCTTTGTTCCCTTTATGCTTTTCATTCGTGTGATCCTGGCCTCCATTGGGATAGCCGTCTCTCCTTTAGGATGCACTGGATCCTGTTTTTTTTCCCTTGGTGTGTAGCTTTCCCTCTGTCTCCCCCGAGGAGCCCTCTAGGACAGGATGGATTGGCTTTGTTCCCATTTAACGCAAGTAGAACCTGAGCTGCAGACAAGGCATCGTCCAGATGCAGACTTGTCTGGCGGTGAGGGTCCTGCTAGGAGCAGCGGTCGAACCAGAAATTGCTTTCAAGGCTTTTTCCCAGGCAGGTGGTTGTTCTGGCTAGAGGCCCGCTGCCAACGTGGTGATGGAGAGGCTGACATAGATGTTACGTTCAGGAGGGCTCGTGGATTTGGAGGGCTAGATCTCGGAGTGCGTTACTGCCCTTCCTGCATTTCAGCTCTTTCCTCTGGTGTTTCTGTGAGGCTTTCTTGGGTCTCTTGACAGTTTTGTCTAAGTAAAAAAAAAAAATACTTTTCTCTTCCAAAAATGCTATAAAATAAAACGGATTATTTTCCGTTTCTGATTGGGGAGAGGCAGGCTGAGCCAGGAAGGGCCTGAGCAGTGCCTGTGCAAAAAGCCCTGTCAAGTGAAAAAGGAGCCGGGAAGGAACAGCTTTCGTAATGGCACCCGGGGGAGCTGGTGGTGTCTGGCCAGTGCTGGCCACTCCAGCAGGGCCTGGATCTTGGGCCTTTGACAGAAAGGAAAGCATATCGGCACATCTAATTCCCAGTCCTCTTCTCTGTGAGCCTGCCCTCCTTTAAATAGGCCTTATTATAAATGAAGGCAGTGGAGGATATGTTCAAGCTGCAATATCTGATCTCGGGGATCTCGTGTTCCTTCTCCCTCATGCTTCCCGTGCCCAAACAGACCTAGAGACATGTAGACGCAGAGGAGCAGTGCTCAGATGCCCTTGCAGTGAGGCATAGGCTGGAGGGGCAGGCTCTGCTCGCTGTCTCGGTGGTGATGGATAGGGAACCTGTTCATCCTGTACCAGCAGGACATGGCGTTGCCTCATCAGCATTCGTGGGACATCCGAGTACTGTCATACGAGCGAGCAGGGCGCTTGCTTCCCAAAGGCACAGAGTTGCTTGGAGCCTCCGTCCTGTTATCCTGAGATCACTGTGGCTGTCCCTAGTGCTTTGATTGTATGCCCAAAATATCCTCAGCTCCTCCTGGAAAGGCTGTGGAGGGATATGTAAGCTGGAGCCAGAGAGGGAAAAAAATCTAATACAGGATGAGGCAGTTTGCTGATGAAATATTCATGTGGGCCACAAGGGAGAAGGGCCCATTATTTTTACTTTAAGGAGAAGAGAAAGCAGCCGCTGCTGGTGTGCTGGTGTCCCCCCCACCACCACTCAGTGTCACCTTGATATAGCAGACAGCGACTCTTTGAAGCCGTAGGTAAGAGATGTTTCTCTGCACATCGTTCCTTTAGTCCTTGCTGTGTATCGACACGAAACGCGTAGGAGCCTGAAGCTGTGCGCATCCCTGCCCAGTGCCTGAGCCTCGCACGGCCCCAGGCAGCCCCTTCCCCTCAGTCCCTAGGGAGGTGCGGTTCCAGGAGCCCTGGCTGTCTCTGGGCAGCTCGGCTGCTGCATGGGCTGGTCAGCAGACCAAAGCGCCCGCCTCTGTACGGCTCCTGGTCCTCAGCTTGTCAAGGCTGTCTGCCAGGGGGTGCACAGGAAAATGAATCCAACTGACCTTTGCAAGTTAAAAGAGCTTTAATTACCATAGCTTAATCCACTTTGGAAGCAAAGAAAGCCAAGTTGAGTTAAGGCCACGTTAAACTTCGAAGAGTATCCACGCTGGGCTTGGCTGCTGTTGGATACACTCACTCCCAAGGTGTGAAGGGGACCCCAGCTCCAAGTCTCCCGCTGTGGCACCGTTCTGGCTGAGCTGGGCTGCAGGACCTTGGCTCACAGAAGTGACTGCCGTTGTCCTGAGCTGTGCTTCTCTGGTGCTGTTGCTGTGATGCCTCTTCGTGGCAGCGCTGCACTTGGAAGATTTCTGAGCCTTGGGTGGGATGCCCAGCCTTCGTGGTGCTACCAGCTCATGGCTTGCTGGCTTCAGGACCTTTTGCCCCGGTGTGAGGAGTGGTGAAGAGCCTCACACTCCAACTGGGTCTTCCAAAATCTGAGCTTGTTCTTCCATTCCTTGGTGCTGCTTCACGCAGTCAGACAGCCCTTTGGCTTCTTGTAGTGGAGGATCGTGCTTTGACCCCAGGGCAGGGGGGTGAAGGCCCCTCTGTTAACGTGGGAAGAGTCAATGACAGTTGTAGGAAATGTCTGAAGCTCACAGAAATGGGTGTGCAAAGATCTGATGCAGAGGGTAATGCTGGCATCATGAGAATGGGCAGTATTCAACCTTCAGACAGAGAACCTGTCAGAGTCACCCTTTTTATAGCTATAAAGGTGAGCTCAGAGCACAGCCCAGACTCTGAATATTTGGGAATTCAGAGTTTAGTTCATACTCATTACAGGTGTCAAACCGGGATAGCCTTTCTATACTTCTCCGTGTTGCTGAAGATTAAATTAATTGGTTGTGATTAATATAGGAGGCTCACAACTAATAAAAGTCCTTTACATAGAGGTAGTTTTATTCAGGCACTGCTCCTCCGTGGCGTGTCAGCAGTGACATCGATCACTGCGGTTCCCATCCTGCTCCTCCGTGCCACGCTGGCTGTGTCTGGCATTTCTAACAGAAGCTATCCACCGTGTGTTGTTTTGGTCCTGGGACCCCCACGCAGCTCTGCTGGTGGCCCTTGATGTCTTGTGTCAGCCTCCAGCGTGCCTCCCGCTCTGCTGTAGCGCAGCTCTCGGTGCTGCCTGGAGGCCTTCTCCTTGCCCTCGTAATGGGCCTCCGTCCTTGCTGACCACAAGCACGATGCACCTTTCTCCCCAGCCTGCGGGCTCGGTGGT